AAACCTCCTGGTCTATTCTTCCATCAAATTATAAGTCAGATTTTCAGTCAGGGGGGAACACCCCCCCCCCCCCGGCCCCCTCCCTCCCTCCCTTCCTTCCTTTAAGCAGTCTTTTAGTTAATGGCCTCCTTTTTCATTCTGCGAGTAATGCTGGATGGGAAGAACTCGGAGGTTTTGAATGAGATTTTCCTATTGAGGCTGGAGTGGACCTGGGGGTTTGCAGCTGCGCGATGCCGCCGAGCAATCTGAAGTGCGTTAAAACATTTTGCAAAGCGATTCCTTTCTTCTCCTGTCTGGAAAGGGAGTGCCAAGTGGAAGATTGGCATGGGTGTGTGTGTGTGTGTGGGGAACAGAAGATGCAAATGCATAAAACAGTGGCAGAAAGCAAGAGGCCTCCCCCTGCCCTCCCCCCCTGCCCCAGCTCGTTTTGTAAAGGCAGTGAAAGGGAAGATGGGGCTTCTTGCAAACTGATCCTGTGCAGGACTGGTTAGATAAGGTTAGAACCTGGATTTAAACGCTGCTGCGTGATGCGACGGAGTGCGGTGGGGAGGGGAAAGGCGGCTTTGGAGAAGGCATGTTATTATTTCACTGACTTTGAAATGCACCAGATCCACCACGCTGCTAAATCCGTCCTGCGCTGTGTTCTGGGTAGCTGAGCCCAAATCTTTCCTTGATGCCACCTTGGTTGGCACGGGGGAGAAAACCTCAGGCTGGAGCCGAAGTGCCCAGCCAGACCCCCTTCCCCGGCCGGTGCTGACCGTCTCATCTCCTGCTTTGTGCCCGTAGCGCTGAGCTGCAATGAGAACGACGGGAGCCCCCTGGACCGAGACCAGCATTACCCCAGCAATCAGAAGACCAAGCGCATGAGGACGTCCTTCAAGCACCACCAGTTGCGGACAATGAAATCCTATTTTGCTATTAATCACAACCCAGATGCCAAGGACTTGAAACAGCTCGCGCAAAAAACGGGTTTAACCAAAAGGGTGCTCCAGGTAAGCCAAGCTGAGGCTCAAACGGAGCAGCGGTTGCAGGGGGATGGCCGTTGGGTCCCCTGTGTCCAGGGGTTATCCACAGCAAGGTGCAGAGACTGTCCAAGGTGCGCCTTGTCCTGTTCTTTTGGTGAGCAGGGCTGCTGTGGGCCAAAGGCAGAAGGGTTCGGAAGAGGGTTGCAGCCTGGCCAGCATTTTGAGCCTGATCCATGTGTCCAGCCATTTTAATCTCACAGGCCACCACATCCACAGTCCCCGTGAACGCAGTCCCTAGGGGACTGCACCTTTTCTTGAATTGCACCACCGCATCCAGGCCCTGTCCCAGGCAAAGGAAGAAAGCGTTCCCAGGGAGCAACTGGGGCCGTTGACAATGATGGGGGAAATTCACAACCTGTTTCTGCCTGTGGTGGAGTGACAGCTCCAAAGGGGTGGGTCCCAGGAACGTGATTTCCAGGTGTGTGTGTGTGTGAAATAACAAACTGAGGTTGGCTTCTGCTCTGAGACAGGGATGATGGTTCAGAGCAGCAAGGGTCTTTCATGAGGGCCCAATGAGGATATGATGGAAATCCCACTGTTGCCTTCTCTCTGGTTGCATCATCTGGTTTCCAATTCTCTCCCCCACCCTGACCTCCCCACCCCAGTGACCAGAGCAGGCCCTACCATTAGGCAGAGGGAAGCTGCTGTCTCAGCTGTCAAATGTTGGAGGGGGCAGAACTGCCACTGTCCTCATGGATGGAGCACCTGGTATTATGAGTAAGAGGTTGTCCTGCCTGTGGACTTTAGGTCTCCTCTGCTGTGGTCTTGGATGCTGTGCTGGGCATGGCAAAATAGTTTTGCTTTTGGGGGGCAACTTTTGCCAAGCTAGGACTTCCCTAATGCAACATTGACCCACTTTGGCATTAGCTTCACATTGGACTCTGTTGGAAAGCATCATCTTAAGAACTTCTTCTGATGCACACCAATAGATTTGGCCTTCTAGAAACATGCGTGGTGTGTGTGTGTGTGTGCATGTGTATGTGTATGTGTATGTGCACACATCTGTTTTACATAGATTTCTCAGAACCAAACTCAAACTGGCTACATCTGCCCATTGCACTGAGCTCTGGTTCATTTAATTGTGATTTGCTGAATGCCCTTTCATGACTGGATCCACATGGTTGATGACTCAAGCATGGTTTATAACTTAGATTGTGGTTTGTCTGGTATGGGCTTAGCAGATTCTTTGAACCTAGCCCTGGTGGATTATAAATCAGAATTTTGTGTTATGTGAACTCAGGCAGTTGTGGCTTGTTTGACCAACTGTGGTTAAACTGACCTCAGCTTAATGTGAACCTAGTCACTACATGATCAGCTGACCCTTGTTGCTGCTCTTAAAACAATGAAAGAGACTCACCGATTTGTAAAATTGTTCTGAGTTGTTCCAGATAACAGGACACGGAACAATGGATTTAACGACAAGAAAGTCAATTTTGTTGGGCATCAGGAAGAACTTCCTAATGGTAAAAAGTTGTTCAGCAATGAAATGAACTACCTGGAAAAGGAATGGATTCTACTTTGCTGGAGACGTTGAAGCAGAAGCTGTGAGGTCCTGTGACTGGTTTTGTCTAGCTTTTATTTTTGGGGGGGTGGGGTGGGGAGGTCCTCAACATATTATCAAAAGCCAAGTGTGGCTGTTGGCTCAAGAAACATTTTCTGCATCTTTGGCTAGCAGCTATGTTGATGGACGTGATGAAGTCATTCGGGAACAAGGGACCACTGGAGTAGAAACTGCAGGATGGACTTGCCAGAGTAGATACAGCCTGTTGAATTCTGAGCCTGAAAGGTTTTGATGATCATCTGGCCAATGAAGATGAGTCCTGAAAAGCTGAGATCCTCAAAATGTTAACAGAAAGCTGGTGGTGGAGAAATGGGGACTTTGGCCCGTGCCTTCTGCAAGTGATAATTTTGGAGAAAGTTCTACAAATATTGACACCTTGACCAACAGGAGCCATTGTCTGTTCATTGGTAAAGATGTGAGCAGAATTCACAGGACTCTTGCCTTGCACTTCTTTGCTTCTCAAGAGTAAAGGTTGACTTTGAGAAGGACACTTTTTAAATACATGATAGGGCAACTTTTCCCAGTTGGAAGCTAATAGCTCCCACGATGGCCCAGGCAGGGTGCCCGGTGCCCGTGCTGGTTAGTGATAGAGCTATACTCAAGCAATCCAGAATATTTGGAGGCCTCACATTGGGGAAAGTTGACATAAGCTGCCCCTTTAACAACCTATTAACTCTGGCTCTTATTTATTTTGCATTCACTGCCTTTTGACTTGACGCTTGAAAAATGATTTGCACCGTGTAGAGGAACTCTCAAGCACTCACAATTGCCGGATGTAATGCCTCTGCATTCGCTCAGATGCTCTGTGGCCTCTTCTTCTTCCAAATGCTCCTGGGTGTAGAAAAGGGCTTATTCTGGGGCAGAGCCCCAGGGATTTCATGGCCCAAAAAGTAAACTTTGGAACATATCCTGTCCTGAGTTTTGACTGCCAGGCAATTCTACCTCCCTCACCTATTCTGCATGTATTTTATATGATTGACAGAGAATTTTGCTGTTGGTGGTGATGGTGATGGAGAAAAAAGGTCGCTGGGTTTATTTGCAAAGTCCACGACAGTCAGATTAGGAAACAGCAGCTGGAGAAAGAGGTCTTTTGGATATCTCTGGATTTCAGCTCCCATCGGCCCCTGCCCACAAGGACAGCGGTCAAGTGTGCAGAGACTTAATGTCCTACCACTTCTTGGGGAGCCTCCAGCTTTCTACCCTCAATGTTCAAGAAAGGAGGAATTCCACAGGAGTGCAGAAAGGAGGACCTGTGTCAATCTAATTTTCTCCAAATCCGAATCAATTTTTTAAAGCATTTTCTAACCCTTATGCAGCCACGGAAACACGGCCAAAAGTTATTTATGCAGAACAGATTATGCCCATACTTTGGTATCTTTTTAGCTGCAGACTTTGGGAAATCTTTCTGGGGTTATACCAGCCAAATTTCTTCACAGCTGCAAAAGGGACCGGCAGCAAAACCTTGCACCGTGAAGGTCATCTGTCCAGACTTTTTTTTTCTTTTGCAGGGTTCTTTTAAATATACATTTTGGGGTATTTTTGGAAATGTCCAGGCTCCGTGAAACCTGCTGTGACTTCTCTCCTATGCGGAGAGAGCGATTTAGAGCAAGGAACCGTAAAGAGGACACACAGTGAAGGAACCCCGTACCTATCTGAGCTTAGTTCCTCAATGATAAAGACTTCCAAATCCATTCTGACTTCAACTACATAAGGAAGGAACTACACATGGTTAAAGAAATATTACCACAATTTGGATTTTTAAAAAATAATTTCCTTTCTGCATTGTACAAATGAAGCTGTTTAATCTGAGTCTGCCTGTTAATCTGCCTAAGTTAATCTACTTGCAAACTAGCCGTAAACTTCAAGAGTTTTTGGTAGAGAAACCCACTTGAGATCCTTTTCCATAGGAAGCACATCCATACCTTGCGCTTAGCTAGAGTTTTGCTTAATCATGTTTCCGGACTAATCTGTTACCGTTGGCTGGGTTCCCATACTACGTGGACCAGACAAAGTTGGGGGCTTAGAACTTCATTCACGGGTGGCAGCAGCAGGGACCTTCGGCAGGCAAAGCACGCGGGCCCCTCTTTTGTAATGCCAGAATTTGGGATCTTCCAAGAAAGCTGGATCGTGGGAGATCTGGGATTTCTCTGTAAGGTGCACCATTGATCTGGAGGGTTTAGAAGACAATAGACAATAGCAAGAAGAGGATGGGTATCATGGCTACCGACCTCCTCCAGAATTGGAGGCAGTGTGTGTGCTGCTGAGCAAAATGGCAAGAAGAAAAAGGTTTGTTGATGGTTCATCATCCTAGGCCATTGGCCCTGATGGTTTGAAGCTGATGGAAGTTGGAGTTCTACCAACTGAAGAGTTAAGGTAGATCCCCTACATCTGCTTTTCTGCTGTGTATACTAGAATTTTCTTTTGCAGAAAGGCAGGGGGGAAAAAGGGTTCAGTGAGTTCCTAGCAGTGAAATAATGTTCACTGGGCAACATGAAAGAAACCTTCTGGATCTCCTCCAGCCATGGCTGTATTTACACTCTTCTGCCAGGACAATGTGTGAGCATTTGAGGAAGCAGACCCAAATCCTTCAAAGCTACGCTCCCATTAATTTGTTAGTCTTCAAGGTGCCACAAATTGTGTTGCAACTGACTCTGTGGAGCAACCATGGAATCTGGAACCATCTGCTCATAGCTGGGTCACCAGGAAGAGACTGAGGATTATAAATCGCCAGAGTGATGGAAGACCCTTTTGGAATATCATAAATAAAATTTTATGGAAGATTTTTAGCAGTCAGCTAGAATTTGGAAAAAGAACAAAGTGGGGAATTGGGGGAGAGAGAGAAATGCTGAATTGATTTACACATCATGCTAAAATAGAAGTGTCTTCTTTTGGCACAGGCTACTGTGTCAACTCAATCTCCGAGGCTTATTATCTTAGCTTGATGTGCAAATCTAACCAACTGGGGTTGACTCAATAAAGGAGGGTTACACAAACTCTGGTTTAGGGTGGTGAGTGAACCCAGTCACAGTGTCTGTACTCTTGGATTGGTGAACTTTCTGGATCAATTGGCACCATCTGCAGAACTAGAACGTTTGGGTTCCGACCAGGAAGGTGGATCAGAGGATTAGCAATTGAAAGCTCAGAAAATATAACCAAACTGGCTGGCTTTAATATTTTTTCCATTAAGCTGGGGGGGGGAAAAGCCACTTCCGAGGGAGTCTGATCCAGCAGTCTCCATCGAGGCCTGGTAGACGCCATTGTGTAAACCATGCAAAGTTGCATCGTTTTTTTCTGTGATGACATCATGGTAGGCGTGATGGGGTCACCCTTGCCCCTGCTAAATGCTCATGCCAGACCCCATATTTCTATTTAAGGTGCCTATTTATTGTTCAGGAGATGCCGTTGTGGGTTGTCATCATGATCCTACTCTTCTGCTTCTAATTTCTCAGGTCTCCGATAAACATCCAGTTATCAGGCAAGCGTACCCATGGTGGGAAGAACTCCAATTGCTAAATACTTGTCTGTCATGCTGAGGTTGAATGCAGAGGAGCAGAGCTGGGGGGGGGGGGGGTTGGTAACCCTGAAATATTAAAATACTTGTCTGTCATGCTGAGGTTGAATGCAGAGGAGCAGAGCTGGGGGGGGGGGGGGTTGGTAACCCTGAAATATTAAAATACTTGTCTGTCATGCTGAGGTTGAATGCAGAGGAGCAGAGCTGGGGGGGGGGGGGGTTGGTAACCCTGAAATATTACGTTTAGGAGATTATTCTTTCAATGCTGAAATATTTTTAAGGACTTCTGTTGCTGCGGTTCGGGGAGGCGAATAGCATCTTGCTGATCTATCCGAAGGTCCAGCTGCTTATAATTTGGTGCAAGCCCTTTCAGGCGTGTGTCCTGTAGGGAATGTTTGCGTGCCACAGTGGGCATATGAGGACAAGGTTCGCGTGTGTCCGGTTGCATCCTATGGTTTCCTAATTTTTTGGATCGTTCCAGATCAGGCAGTTAATTTTGTGCAGAGGCCTGTGGCAAAATGTGATCCGATTGTGCAAAGCCTGTTTGGAAATACAAACTCCCTCCCATTACCTTTTTTCCCCCTTTTGTTTCCCTGCCTCAGTTTCTCCCTGAGGAAAACGGCATGAGATAATAATAACCTCTCTGGCTTTTTTTTCTCGTTACAACGGAAAGCCTTTGGGTGTGAGACGGATCTTTACGCTGGCTAGGTTAACCTGCTGCCTCCCACCCGTTCTCTCTTGCCGCTGTGTGCCCATGTTCCACAGCTGCCGAGCATTATGAGAATCAAAGCCCAGCTCATCTAGAAGGTGCCTTCTGGAGGAAACCCTCCCAAAACATTGTTAGAAAAGAGAAACGTTGACTGCTTGGGGTTCAGTCTGCATTCCTGTTTTGAAGAGCTCTGAGGACTTTGGAAGTTTGTACACTATGTGGTGACTTGGAGTTGGCTTAAAAACAAAAGTTATTGCTATTACGTGTACCTTTTGGCTTGACGTTCTCCAGCCACCAAAAGGTCTCCGGGCTGGTAATCTCGACATTGGGCTGGTTGGGTTCCCAGTTCAAGAGCTGTGCTTTATCATCCATGCTCCTGCTTTTAAAGCACCCCACATCAGTGGAATTCCACAGATCCAGGGTGAGGATTGCAGAGCGCACCAACTTTGCAACTCATCCGAGAGACCCGCAAACATGTATTTGTGCTTAAGCTCGCTCAAAACTCTGCAGCCTGCCCAAACATCTTTTCAGTAACTGCCAGGCGTGACTCCTTTCTCCTTTTGAACTTGGATAGTGTTTTCTCTGTGTCTTCCCGTGGCATCAGTGGTCTCAACATTGGCATTATCTTGAACCTTAAGGCAGGTTCCCTCTTGCAAAGAGAGACAGAGAGAGGGTTCTTGTTTCTTTAGAAACGGATACTCTATTATGCTTTTTCCCAAACGTGAAAAGTTTGCATTGCACTCATTACTGGAAAAGTATGCAATTTGTACAACTCCCTCTCTCCCCAGCTCCCTGTAATTATTCTGCAGGAGAACTTCTGCATTCCCTTTTCTGCTGGAGAAAAATCAGGAAGAGTCTGGCAGCACCTTTTCCGACTAAAAAAAAGTATGAAATGCATAAACTTTGGTTCTGATTTTCTGCTGCCCTGGTCTTAACACGGCTCTCCTCCTACAGTGTCTTCCTGCTGCAAAAAGTGGGACTTTCTGAACTCAAGAATTAATTCATCCCCTGAGATTGTTTTATTCCACCCTGGCAGGTGGATTGGAAAACAGAAAACCTGTTGTAATCTCCCTGCACACATCACAAGTCAAAGTAGGGTCCCCCCCCATTTCGTTCCTTCCTGCCTGAGTCATGTATTTATTTTAAAATCCTTATCCTGGAGCAAGTCAATGCCCTCACAGAGACACAGTGAGTCTTTGCTCAACAGGATGCAACTTGGAGGACTTCTATTATTAATAATAACATATAATTAGATCCCTATCATACCATTCCTCTGAGCTGTTCAAGATGTTAAAAATGACTCTTTTCCCCCATGTTGTTATTTTAGAATTATTAATAATTTATCTTTGCATGTAATGCTGGCAGAACTTTTAAAATGATCTGGTGCCTGATCTAAATGCCATCATAAAAATAAATATTAATATTTAAATATAGACTAACAACACAACAAGGAGGGAAAACATTTTGCCTGAATGACATCCTGTTGGTATTACTGTTGTATCTCCCCCCCCACCGCCCCCCAAAAATGACTTCACACCATTTGGTTAGTTTACAAGGTCATAGGGTCACTTGCATAATATTTGATGGGAGACTGCCAGCAGTCCCAGAGCTCTGGGCCAAACTGGGAAATAAGGAAGAAAATTCCTGAACAAAGGCAGTGAAAAACCACGTCTGTATCATTGCCAAAAAAAAATTCATGAACATGTCTTTGCAGTCACTAAGAGCTCACCTTGAGAAAGACTCTACCTTTAAGGGAGTCCAAAAGATTCAATGAGGTTCTCCAGAGATCCAGAAAATTCCACCATGTTAACTTGCTCGCTCATTGGGGTGACCTCCAGGTGTTGGGGTGACATCTCCCAGAGTTCCCAATCAAGGTGGCCCCGGAGACATTGAGAAGTAGTTGCCCCGTCCTGTGTGGAGGTCCACCAGGTTGGAGAAGGCTTTTTTAAGGGTACTGATGAGACCATAATCGCTCAGGGCACTTGAGGGGTCGGTGCTATGAGGTTTTTCAAGAAGCGAAGACCTGAAAGTAATACATAAGTAAGTAACCTTGCACGTTGACAACTTAACTTGGCATTAACAAATCTGTATTTTGGTTTTAACCATGCTCCCATCTCGGTGCTCAAGACAACTCCAAGGCCGATCAATCAGTGATTGGAAAGGGGCGTGCTTCAGGCTGTGCTTGAAAGAGTGCACCCTCCCACGTTGTGTTCATTCTCTGTTTCCTTCCCTCCCTTACCTGGAACGGTTTCAGGTCTGGTTTCAGAACGCGCGAGCCAAGTTCCGACGGAACCTCTTACGCCAGGAGACCACGGGGGTGGACAAGGCCTCCGACTCGGCCCTCCAGGCAGGCCCCCCGTCAGGACCAGCTTCGGAGATCTCCAACACCTCCATGAGCCCATCCAGGACCCCCACCACCCTAACAGACTTGACGAACCCTAGCATGCCCTCGGTGACCTCTGTCTTGAGCTCGGTGTCCGGCGGCTTGGACGTCCACGAATCCCGCAGCCCTTCACAGACAACGCTGACCAACCTTTTCTGATGACTCGATTCCGTGGGTCGTCTTCTTTTTAAGGAAAGAAATTATTCTTAGTCAAATTCCAAATGTATTTTTTAACTTGGGAGGTTCTCACAGCTGGGCTGCAGCGTTACCGTCCGTCGCGTCGAGTCCGGCCCCGTCTGAAAGCCACCGCGGATTTGAGGAGTGACTTGGAATCACAACTTGCCACACAACATTTGTGTCAATGTACAGTTTTATGGACTGGGCCAGGGAAATGGCAATTAATTTAAGTTGGCTAAAGCTTGTGTAATTTTCAAAGACTGCCACGTGCCTTATTTACTGTTCATTCCCTTTCTCTACCCCGGCCTTTTTCTCTCTGTATATTTATGACCACGGCAAAAAGCAAGCAAAC